CCATTGTGTCTAAAATACTATCTTTTTTTTAAGATGATATGCATTATCTTGTAGATTATACTAAAAATTCCTTCCAAAAAATAGACATAACTTATTTAAATTTTAAATGTTTAAAATAAATTAGAACATAGATGAAATTTTCTTAGATTAAACGTAAATTTTATTTAAATAAAAAGAAAGCAGAAACATTTATGTAGAGATATTTCCAAATTCAGTTAACATTACGGAAGAAAAATTATAAAAAAAATTTTAAAGTGCTTATGCAACTTTTATAAAACTTGGTATTCAATCATAAATTTTTATGTGAGGGAAAGGTATGTCATTTAAAAAAAATTGTGTAAAATATCTATATTAGCGCAATGCAGTGGGAATTCCATTATCCGTCAATCTAGGACCGGTTAAGAAAATTGACTGATAATAGAAATTTCTATGAGATACGCTCCAGTCACCACATGCGCTTAGTCAAAAACAAGGATCCATTTTTACTATAACATGGTACCGAGAAAAGGGAAAAGTCAAGATGAGAACTGAAAACTGAACATTTCTATTATTCTTAGCTTACTCATTATTATGCTTAGTAAAAATACACTGCTGGCCATTAAAATTTCAACACCAGGAAAGAAATGATCTGAAGTCAAAATCACATGAAAGGAAGAAGTTGGGATATGCAAATGATTAGTATTTCAGCGCATTTAGATGACCCAGGAGGAAGAAACGACATCTGAAGCACTGCATAAAAGAAAAGTTATGTAGTGGATTTCTAATTCGAAAAGTGCTTTGTAAGGTCGGAGTTTGCTCAGAATATCGTGTTAAGCTTCGAATAAGAAGAGGAAATGCTTACCAGCACGTTTCGAAATTCGATAGAGGCAAGATCGTTGCTTTTTCGAAAGCGTAGATTATCGTTCCGTGATATCGTGGTGGCACTGGTCGACATCCAACCACTGTCATATGGAATCAATGGATTGCTGAGGGTCATACTGGACGGCACGCAGGATCTCAACGCCCTCCCATGACTAACGCCAGAGAGGACAGACATCTTGGGGGGGAGTCAGCCCTGCAAAACCGTCTGACCACATCACGGACCATTAGTCAGGAAATGGGCATGTTCGCAGCACTCCCAGTACCAGCGCGTAAGGTGCGTCGACGTTTGCAGCAGCGTGGACTATCAGCAGGGTGACCATTACTTCGGCTTGCCTTGACAATGCAGCATAGAGAGAGACGGCGACTCTGGTGCGCCGAACGACAAAGCTAATATCTTTTTTTTTTTTTTTCAGACGAGTACCCGTTCTGCGTGCAGTATGCTGATGGTCGTATGCGTATCTGGAGGCTCCAAGAAGACCACATGTCGCCTGCTTGAGTTCGATATCGGCATAGGGGCTCTGCACCTGGTGTGATGGTTTGGGAAGCCACTGGGTACACGACATTAACATCTCTAGATCGGATCGACGGTAATTTGGACGCAAATCGGTACATTTCTGACATCTTACGTCCAGTGGTTATGCTCTATCTCCGAGCCTGCCAAACGCCCTGTTCCAACAAGATAATGCAAGACCACATGTTGTAAGTCGTGTTCTGACCTTGCTCGATACTCAGAGTATTTGGTTGTTGCCCTGGCCTGCGCGGTCTCCAGGTCTATCACCCATTGACAACATCTGGTCATGGGTTGCTAAGAGACTGATTTGCCACCCCTCTCCAGCTAATACGGTTGACATAGACTTGAAGCAGCATGAATGATTTACCCATTTCTGTCATCCAAGTCCAGTTTGACTCCATGCCGAATGGGGTAAAGTCTGTTTTAGCTGCCAGAGGTGGCAGCTGTTTCTGCTAATTTCACAGACTGTAAATCTCCAAAATGCTTACAAATTTAAGCATTTTGTCTTCAAGCTATAATACTGTTTACGTAAAATTTTTTTTTTTTTTTTTTTTTTTTTTTTTTTATTTGCTTTCCTTCATCGTATTGCAATTTTAATGGGCAGCAGTGTATAATATTAAAAATAAAAATAAATCTATGATACTCTCTGTAGACACAAAATATAATACAGTTACATAAAAAAAATCCTTGTTTTTCTAGACTACTTTACTTAAGGCAAACAAACTCAACTTAAGGCAAACAAAATAGTAGTATTACATTTTTAAAATATAGGAACAATGAAAAGATTTTAATAAAAGGCTCAGTATATGAAGCCATAAACTTTATTTTTGTAGAATATATTTAAAATATATACAGTATCTGAATGTATCACTAAACACATGAATGTGTCGGCATACGTTAATTTTCCTACTATTAAGGCTCGAACCTTTAGATCTCCTTGAAATTTCAGCTTCCCAATAGTGGAATATCATTTATAATACCTCCATGGCAACTTCCTTTCCATATTCACTATCGCGATCAAAATAGCATCACATTTTGCGAGTGTCCGTTGTCATTTAATATTTCAAAACTTTCTTCAGCTCTATTGCAATATTCATTCTTGGGAAAAAAATCCAAATATCTAGACACTTGCTTTAAAGTCTTCTTCATAAATGGCCAAATCCGTCTGACATTTAGCCATCTCATCACTAAAAACGTTGCCCAAGGTACACCGCAAGGGTTAAACGGATGTTCATCTTCGAGAAGAGGAAAAAATACCAGAATCCACAGTCTAGTTTCGGACTAACAATAAGTCTTTGTTAATCACTGTAGCATCATTCACAGGCGGTATACTGTATTCCCATAATGTTATAGCTTAGTGTCGCAACTGTTGAGGAATATCTCTATTACTTTAATATATTGTATATTTAACTACTTTCACGTGAAATACTACCTAAAAGAAAATTTCCATTGTGAATGACATGCATATTTTAATGTGCTGAACTGTAACTTGTGCGACTTTTGATATCAATGAACGCTCATTTGACCTGCAGAACTGAACTTTCGCTGAGGCCCGCAGCAGTTGACCTTTCTGTCAACTAGGAATCAATAACTGAGAAGTCTAGAAGTAGCATGATAACTACCCAGTTGACAGTAAAAAGTGTAAAATGTTTTAGACTTTTATTCTAAATACGGTGACAAAACAATCATATTGGTTTTATAATATAGCTTATTTTAAAATATTAATTTTTAGAAGGTCATATTTTTTGTTTGCGGAGAAATAGAATGGAATTATTAATTGAAGTGTCTTAGTGGCTGATGGATGGTAGAAATTTCCGATTAAAAGAGTGATGGATGTTTACCGAATCTCTTAACTCAACCGTCTGAGACATGAAGACTGCATTAAATTTTGCGTGTCAGCTCACTAGAACGGGAGATGTAGCCCTCACATTTCCTGCGGGGTACCTGATGTATCTGCGCCGTGCCGTTTGATGGATTTTAGTGTCTTGTAAGGTTTTCCCTTCCAAGTCAGCTTTTTAACTCAGTTCCGCCTGTTTTAGGTCAAATAAACATAATTTGGTCGAAATTCAAGTATTTCCGTCCATTTTATAATAAATATGTATAAATGCGCCTTTAGTTAATGTATAAGTATTTGCGTAACGTAATATCTTCTTTATATATATAAGCGGCTAAAGTGTATCGCCGATAGTTTATTTGTTGCCACTCTAAAAAATGAGCACGGAAATTAACGTTTCCGCAGTTTTTAATTAATATCTCGGCCGATTAAAGTTGTACGAAGATAAGAACGGTATCGATGGATTCAGATAATTTTTTGGAATCGGAGGATACGCGTCTCGAATTTCAACTCGGCGCCGTTCCGTAGATGTTCGAGAAAAAAGAATTTGGCACGTAGCCAAATCCCTGTAATAGGAAAACCCAAGAAAGAAAGGGGAAAATGTAGGGAAAACGTCGGGGAAAATTAGTTTTTAATTAATACATCGGCTAATTAAATTCCCAAGAAGACGCGAATGGTGAAAATGGCGTGCCATGAACCTGCGGAATCCAACGGGGGCTTCGCTAAGCCCGTGAGCCAGCCCTTTCGGAGGAGATAATGTTACTTTACCCCATATATATTTCCGTTTAAGTGTGTGTTTGTCGACGATAGTTTATGGTTGCTTGCATAACTGTACTAGCCAATGGGGTGAAGTTGCCACAGCACAGGGTTGCGTTTCAATTCAGACGTAGACAATTTCCTGTACAACTTGCCTTTGCTATGACCATCCATAAGTCTCAGGGCCAAACGCTTAAGCGTGTTGGCATCTTTTTACCTGAGCCTGCATCTGGGCACGTTCAACTTTATGTTGCCCTGTTCAAGAGTTCGTGAAAGAACGGACGTAAAATTAAAAATAATGGATGATCCTCTGCAAGGCGAGCTTAAAAATGATGAAAAGATCTACACAAGAAAGGGGGAATAAGCAAAGGGGCGTCCTCGCCGCCTGCCCTGGGTAATTCAGTTTAAATTAGCAGACACATTTGCACAAATCATTTTAATTACAATTTATAATATCTAGAACAGCGGTCATTTCGTATGACCGCCGGGCTTTCTAGTTTTTTATAAGCGTGTAACTTTGTAAAATGCAGGAGATATTTAAAAAATAAATAAATAAATAAAAAAAAGGAGATAAAAAGAAAAAAAAAGGCGTTTCCAATTTTCGACATTACTTTAGAATTTAACCATCTGAACGCGGAATTTGTGAATAGCGATTTGAGTTTAATCTTGAAATATACGGAGGAACGTTCTAATAGCGTCTGCAGTAACTGGGATTTCAACTTTGGTCAGTTTTGCTAAAAGAAAAAAATGGATTTTTTTAACCCCGATTTTATGAATTTTATACTGATAGGGTTAACATTTCCGAAGGGGGTGCCCCGATTGAAACGAAATTTGTCTAAAGATTTCTGTTCTTAACGAAATATTAAATGCATGAATTATTCAGTGTTGTTTGTTTCATTACTTTTTTATTCATTATAATTTAATTTATGCAATTCCTTTCACAATGCATTTTAATTCATGTTTGTTTTTCAGTCTACTCTAATTTAAGTTATGCATTTTGTTTGTAATGTATTGTAATTTTTAAATATTGTAATTTAGCTATACAAATCCAAAGAAGCCAAAAACCAACTATATTTGTACCAAAACAAAAGACTTTGCTGCTTTTGGATAGCTCCGTTTGGAATTATTAACATCTTTGCTCTCATTGCTGGTATAGAAGGAGCTTTCAAAGATACTTCTACGGAAAATAAGTATTTGATGCGATTTTTCACTTATAGTATGGCATCCATTTATTTCAGTCCCTGCTTCGACGTAAGTAACTCTTTCTAATGTTCTGTTAAGTAAAGTTGTTTCATTTTACTAGTTTGTAACTTTTATAGCAATTGCTGTAAGATCTAAAATCATAGAAATCATGTGAGAGAAAGTTAATCTAGAGTACTCTTCCATTAGCTGTGCCACTTCAAAAAGTGCTAAATGCCTTCTATCCATTGTTTAACAATCTTAATCCAAAAATTATCTTAATTTTAAATTCAAAATTTAGCAAATTTTCTCTTTTACCAAACACATATGGTAATATTTTGGTGTTTGATTCTACCCGACTTAAATATAGATAGTTCACAATTTTTTACGCCTACCTAACTAAAACTAATCAAGATAAGAATGTTACATTTTGTGCCACTTGAATGGGTTTAATATGGCAATTAAAGGTATGCTTACTTTTTAATTAATGTAGCTTGAGAAATCTTTGAAATTGCGTGTATTTGAAAATCCCTTGCTGACCGCGTTAGATCAAATACTTATAAACAGAATATTGTTTCCTCAATGGCGGGTCCTCACCCGACTTCGTCTTGGCCACAACTAAGGCCAGAAGTGATGGTCATTTATTATTATCGAGCCACGTCTGGGCGGCATAAACAGAATATCCTAAGAAACATAATTTAATGGCACATTGGACGTGGATGAACGTATAGCACTGGGGAATTCAGCAGAAGAAATGTTGTTAAATATAAATACAAAAGCCCATCTATTGAAAATCTGTTTTCTGTTGAAACAGATCTGTGAAACTTGAAGTGGAAAATGCAGTTTATATATTTCCATTTTCACAAGCACAGTGTTATACACCTTACAAGAATTTATATTAGCCTTGTTAAGGACAGATTAAAAAATTTGACAGATGATACCTTTCAGGTGTTTCCTGTTGTTGTAAATTGTTGTTAATGTTTGTGGTTACTTGAATGTATTCTTATTTTCATATATAACTATATTGTTACGCGTTTGTTTTATTTATTTATTTAGCGTATTTTAGTAATTTAGAATGCATTTCTCTTTAATCAAATGTGTTGTCATTCATTGTTTTCGTGCATTAATTGTAAATCTTGCGACTCTTGAACCGATGAAAGTTTCCGACATTTCAGAAGTTTTCAGTAAAAATATTTTCGAAATCCTGAGAACGATACAACTCCGTAGAAACCGAAAGCTAGATTAGTTAAGTTAGCTGAATAGTTTAGTTCAAAATCATGGGACTGTGAGCTTCTCCATATTTTTTATAACTGCTTGAAACTTAAATGCACTGTAAATGACTTTTTAGTTACGGGATGCCCTTCGCTTGTAAAAAGAGTTCGGTTATTAAGAGTAGCTTGAGTTAATTATAGCTGTTATTACTAGTGTGTGGTTTATTTTCATAAAGTGTCAATTTATTCCCGCTCATCTGTGAATGTAATTATTAAAGAAAACTCTATCAGCGTGTAGTGCGCAACAGTACGTTTCTGAAGATTTACATGAGCAAATATTTTTGTTGATGAAATTGAATAGTACTAAACAAGTATACGGTATGCTTCCCTTCTTTACCTCCGGCCTTCATGGTGTGGAAGGAAGCACGTCCGGTTGACACTCGAGAGGTCCGCAGTTCGAATCCTGTTGAGGGCAATGCATATTTTGCATAGTTCCTGCTTCGAAAATATAAATGATTCTACAGAAGGCGCCCGAATTAAAATATGGTGGAAAATGTGGTGCATTCATGACCATATTTTCCATTGCCAGGATTTTGCAATTGGGTTCCGTCCTTCTGAGTCGGCCCTTTAAGTGAAGAATGTAGAGTATTTTCTCCCTTCTTACCGTATGTCTTCTTGGAGTCATTGGAAGAACATCCAGATGGTAGTTGGAAAGTCTAAAGCTCGAATCCCGCTCAGGACATTGCACATTTTTCATGTTTCCTGCTACTACGATTCTAATGATTCTAAAACTTTATAAGGTTTTATCCTAAGTTTCTGACAGTTAATTGTAGTTAAAGCTACTTTTCTGTCCTTCCTAATTTCAGTCCTACCAGAATATGTGTTTAGAATCGCGTTTAATGCAAATGAGTAAGAGCAGTATTTAAGTCAAAAATCCACTGACTTCGGAAGAGAATCTCAGGGTTTCTGACTAGCGTGCGTTTGCCTTTTGGCTAAGTCTCTCTAAGCTGTTACTACGCTCGGCTGTATTACAGGCACTTGATAGCTTCGCTGGCTTATTCGATATTTAGGGCAACTACTTAGAATTTTGATAGCCTTGGCTATAGCTTTTTAGTTAAGAATTAGTTAAGTCTTATTTCTGATTACCTTGAGGTCAAGCCCAAGTAGAGGCTTTGCTGTACGCCCTGAGACAGGGACCATCTGTTAAACTGTTATTTTGAGCAATAAACGGTAATTAACCCTTCTCGAGTTTACGTCTCTGTTCCTGAACTAAAGCGATTATTCGCTTAACTGTTCATTAGGCTCCTCCATATTTAGTTGTTAGAGAAAAGGGTGGAACTCCACAACTTACATGAAAGTTGATCGGTTTATACAAAACAAATTAAGACCTGCAACTTACATATGAGATCAAATGTTGATAGAATACGCTGTCTGACGGAGGAAATCATATCACACCTCGCTTTTAAATGTAAATTTATGTGTGAGTGTACATGTACAAATTAACAATGGATCGACTGATTCGGCGATAAAACTAATTGAAAAAAGAAACTAAAAAGAGGAAGAGGTGGTGACAAGAATGTGTTCGTTAACAAACTTTGGAATTAAGAGAAGTCTGCAAAAATGGGAATTAAGAATTTGTATTAGAAATGATATTTTAGGTCTTTTAATCAGCAGCTTTGCGAATTCAGCATAATTTAAAATATCTCTGAAGTTCTTTTTCTAGAGAAAGGTATTGAGAGATGAAATCAAAATGTATATAGAAGCAACTTCTGCGATTATCGAGTCTTTGTATGTGAGCAGTACCCAAGCAGATTAAGCACAGTAAAAAGGATGGGATTAAAATTCTATATAGTAGTAATTCATAATGTAGTCGCCGAATGCCAGAATAGACTCTGTTTGCCAAATGGTTCGTAAAAGGTGCATTTTCAGTTCATTATCAATATGCACTTGAAATCCTAGATTGTTGTCAATGGTGATCGTTAAATTTTACAAGTAGAATTTTTAATATTATCCCCAAGGTAATTAATTAAGTGAGTATCCATTAGGAATCCTATTTTGGAGTAACACCAAACAGCGTTTCTCAGGATTGAACTCGCTTACGAACTTTCATTTATTCACTGCATATCATACAATTTAAGTCTCCTTTTATTAACGACGAAACGCAATTTGGATTCAGATAACGTGTAAATAAATCAGTATTTTCCAACTTTTTGGGGGAAGGGGCAACTTGTCAAAGGTTTCTCTTTTATGAAAGTACACATCCTATAGGAACACTTGTAGACTACAGAATCCAGTTTAAACTTTCGGAACTTTAAATAAATTTCCGGTTTAAATCATTCGGAACTTCTTATCCGAAAGACTTAAACCGACGGTAATTAAGGTCTTCTTGATAAAATACTTCGCAATAATATGCATGTGGGAGATCATAAGGTTGTTTTCAGATGAGACCTGCACTCATATCTTAAGTAGGCTTTCACGCCTTTTCTGTAGTGCATTTATAATTTCAGTCATTCTCAGGATTATAAGAGATTTAGAAGGACTAGGATCGAAGCTGAATTGTACTGACATTCCGCTCGTAAATGAAACAATTCGTTTGGAATTTTAATGGTATTTTAAAGAATTTTTCTTACTGGGGAGTAGGCATTTTAAAATAACTTACAATATTTTTAATAAAATAAATGGTATTTTTCATTAAAATCTTAATTAATATTTAAGCTCAAGTAAATTTATTCCATTGCTTTAGTTAAAACAAAAATGCACATATGTTAAGACGAAAGAATAATGTATCATCGTACAATATCCAAATTACTTTATTTATAAATTATATAAAAAAATTTGTCGATATTAATATTTTTTATAGCAATTTATTATCATCTTTTGAAAATTATACATATAAATAATTTTCGAAAATAATTTTTATTTAAATTTCAGCTTTAGAGTTTGTGCTAAAATAATGTATCCAAAACGGGAAAAGGAAAAATCATGTTTCGCTTAAAAAGGGTATGGAATAATATTACTATCCGGAATTTTCGATCCTGTTGAGATTTTATTTAATCCAAATATTTGGAGTTCTAGTGTGAGCCTACACCAGGGTGGTAATTATGCCAAAAGTATTTTCAATAATTCTTCTTTAAAAATAAAAAAAGAAAGAATTGGATTGAAATAAAAATGCAAAGATAACCGGAGAAAAACGTCAAAAGAAAGTCTTAAAAAGTACAGAAAAAAGGGGAAGGCTACAAGTGGAAAGAAATAAAAACTTTAGAATGGAAATTTATCATGTTCATGGTAATAAGTTTTAAAGCTATGATTACTATTTTGCCATGATTATTACCTGTTCTAAAATTATTTCATTGGACATAGGCAATTGCATCACTGCACTATATCATACAAGACAATATTAATTTTATTATTATTACAAAGTTTTCTTGGTATAGTAGGTATATAATTATGTCATGTAATCAAAGGTCGAGTGCTAAGATTTTATTATTATATTTTAAATCTTGTTAAAATTATGTTGGCATATAAATTCCATTTTTTGTTCAAAGAAGCAACTTATTTCTTTTTTTAATATAAATTTACTTGCATTCTGAATAGGTAAGGACGCATTCTGAATAGGTATAAGTATGAACAATAGCTCTTCAATTATTCAAGTACAGATGAGCCTGTACTGCAGCTGACAGTCCAGAAAAAGTAAACGAATATATGAGAACTTAACCAGTACGAAGTTGTGTAACTATACAGTGTCAGACCGCCAGTCTTCAAAGATGATGAAACCATAACTCTGAAGTAATTTATATGACACAATATGTAATAATAAAATCAGTTTGTACTATTTAATTATTTTTTCCTTTCATAAACATACGAATTCTCTCAGCCGAAATTCTGTTGTCTACATTTGAATTAAAAAAATCATCCTTTCAATTTCAAGTAAGCGATGATCATAAACAATATAATATTAAATTAGCCAAAAAAGCACATTTTTCTACTGTAGCCAGATAGAAAGACTGGAATTCATCTGTATATAGCTCTGCACAAAAACCCGGCTAACACTTGCTCCATATACGCGACAATCAATTACACTCTTTTGCAAAAAAATCAAAACACCATGAAGGAAATGGTTATTTTTGATGAAATTGATATAGTTCATACACAGATAATAAAATGATTAAAAAATCAAGGTCATAATACCTGTTCACGGCTCACAATCACCCATTGAGTGTTCAAATTAGTAGTTGGTCGAACCGCCTCTGGCGGCAATGCGTGCTTAAATTCGTCGAGGCAAGGAGTGGTAGAGGTTTCTAATGTAATCCTGCGACAAATTCTGCCAGGCATTCGTCAGTTGTCGCTCCAGATCTGCGATACTTTGTGGTACCCGAATATGGAGGCCTACAATATCCCAGACAGTCTCGATTGGTGAAAGGACTAGTGACTTTGATAGCCAAGGAAGAGTATCAACCGCACGGAGACAGTTCAGAGATATGCGAGCGGTATGTGCCTGGCATTATCTTGTTTGGAAATGGCCGAAGGATGACGTGCAATGAAGGAGAATGCAATCGGCCGCAGGATTTTTTATTCAGAACTGAATACATTTTCGCAAAAGCTACATTTTTCACTCTTCATATATCGTTAACGCTGCTGATAGCAACTCCATTCTTATTTTCTAACCGCGCTACTAAATGATTTGGATCGTGTAAGGTCGCGCGGAAGCCTTTGAATATGATTTATCGGCTTGGATAGTGCATGTTTTAGTACACTGCAAAAATATACATTGATTTCTTTTTCCTAATAAATGGTATATGATATTATGTTTCACAATCATAATATACACACAAAATCTTCTCTTTCGACTCTCTCAGGGCGACAAACCCAGGATAAAGAGATAGCGCAGTCTTCTCTCTATTTATTATTACTATATATATAGTATACATAATCATTTTTCCCTAAATAAAAATTATGAATAATTCAGCTCTCAGTATAACTTTTGAATTTTATCATAATGGCCATAGTTAGTAGGTAAAAATGAGTTGCCCGATCCCGAAATTTTAATAGAGTTGCTAATTTATCTTAAGAAGGTAAATAATGCCGGGTGACAATGAGATAACAATGATTTTTAAAACATCTCTTTTCGGTCACATAAAGTTCTCTTTGAGTATTTTAATAGCAAAAAAAATAGAGATGCTAATTAACACTAACCGCCACCTTTAAAAGATAATTCAAAAATAATACTGCTTCGGTATTCAGGTTTGGGACATTTAAGAAACGCTTTATAAAGGTTTAGCCTAAAATGCAGTTCTCAACGGAAGAGAGGATTCTTATAAAAAACGGTCACTCTATTTCTGATAGGCCCGTGCGTTGAGCGTAAAGTCGCGAGCACTGTTAAGTTGGCCGAATTTCGAATCCTGGAACGGACTGCCTAGTTTGTATGTTTCTAGTTTCCCCATACGTAACGTTATACGACCGTTCTAGAAGTCCTCGAACGCATCTCTCCCCTTAGGCAGATAGCCTCTGATGTGGTATACATATAACCAACCTATTATGTAGGTGCGCAAGTACCATGTAGCTAACCCAAAAACAGAGAAAGGAAGGAATGAAAGTAGAGAAAAAATAAAATTAATGAAAAAATGAAATGAAAATGTAAATTTTTAACAGATATTGAGAAAGTTATATTTTAAGAAAAAATTAATATAACATATTGCATTTAAAATTACACATCGCGACTTTCAAACATAGTACATAATATTATTTTTACAGACTAATCTAGTTAACTAGAATAGATAGATGGAAAACATTACGGTGGCTTTCACGATCGACGCCCTTGCTCCGCTTATTGTTTGTGGCCGCCTCTTTCTGCAGCTTCAGTTGAATAAAGCAAAACCTTAAAGATATTTTAATTCTAAATTAAACAATGCATTGTTTAGGGCTATAAACAGAAAAGTAAGATTTTAAGCGAGAGGCGTGGTCAATAAATGTTTACAGAATTTTTATCTCAAGGATGGTGGCATAACTGACATTAGAAAGGCACAAAAATTTATAACCTTTGCTGTCTTAAAAATTCACTTTTTTTAATTAGTTTTATAACAAAATAAAAGATATTTTGCTGAACTAACCCTCACCCCCATATGTTTCTATAAAAAGTATAATTCAAGAATAACAAATTTTTATTGCATTATTCAGAATTTCATGACAGGGAAGGAAATTCATTAGGGGGAGAAAAAAAACAAACTTTAAGGGAAGGAAGTAAATGATGTGATGAGCAATATAGTAATGAAACGTAAAGAATTAGAAAATTTGAAAGCATGGAAGAGCGAGATTGGAAAATTAAATCATTACGTAAACAAGAAAAATATTAATGATGTTAAAGTTGATTAAATAAAACTTAATATTAAAGTAAGATAAAAAAAAGAGTCAAGCTTTACGGAAAATTTTTGAAGATCCCATATTAAAAATGTAGTTAAGTGACGCCATACTTAGCTAAAAAATTTTTTCCTTTCGAAATTTGAGTCATTCCCTGACGAGAAATTTCAGCGCTTTTTCAATTTGCGATATACACCAAACAGCACGATACATCAAACAATGCTAAATAACACAATAATAAAAGCACATATGAGATCTTCAAGAACGAAAAACGAATTTTACTGATAAGCGAAAAAAATAACTTAAATATTGAACTTATGGAGAAGTCGAGAAATTTAAATGATAGTAAATTTGAATGGTTTGTGTACGTGTGAACTAAAAGTCACTGTCAGCTTGTGTCGTGACTAAAGTCTTGACAGTTTAAAATGTGCCGTAGCTAAATGCCCTGACGGCCAATTCCGTGTCGGCTTGTCGGTCGACTTCCTGTCGCTAAGTGTCCTTGTCGGCTAAATGTCTTGTCGGCTAAGTGTCCGTTTCGGCTAAATGACCTTCGGCTAAATGTTCTGTCAGCTAAGTGTCCGTGTCGGCTAAGTGGTTGTCGGCTAATTGTCACGGACCCGTGTCTGTACGTTGCAGGTGGCGGCCTATTGCTCGGTATGACCACCCAGCTTCATGCGACCCTACGATGCGTTCGAAATCGTCTAGTTATCTGTAAGGTCTTCGATATCGTCGTAATGGCATCTTTAAATGGCCGCCAAAAAAAACTGTCTGTATTTTAATCTTCTGTTAATATTGTTTACAAAAATGTCGTCTACTAATATGGTAATTATGACTTTTGAAGGAAATATAGGAGTGGCCTAAATAGTGTCTCTCCTATAGACTCAAACTCTGCTTTAATGAAACCGGCTTATAGCGAATCCTCCGGATATTAAGATAATTGGCTATGGCGAACTTCCGAATGTATAAAAATTGGATATGACAAATTTTGGGAATATCTTGGACTGAATTTTTTTTTTTTTTTTTTTTTTTTTTTTTTAAATTTTAAAAATTTTTTGTCAGAATTTCTGCATTTTTCAACTGAAAAATTACTAACCCTTAAATTTATCCTGTGTAGGCTATTAGAATAAAGAAAAACAGCTATAAGTTATTGTTCCTTTATCTTCACTACGCCTTCCTTTGTGTTCTTAAAAAAAAAAAAGACTATGCAGACACTCAATTCTTGAAAAATTAGGACACACAATAAACATACTTTAGGACATTAGTCTAAAACTAGCGGCCTGCAGGCCTAGTGCGGACCCCGAACGAATTTTATGCGATCCGCCAATACATTTCAGCTATGTATTTAAATTTATATAATAGTGCTTTTAACTATAAACAACATTAGAGACGTACAGATTATGTTTATATGCGCGATTGCAGCTGACTGAAATAGAAATAGAATAAATAGATTTAAATGAAAAAAATGTAGACTTTATATACTTGCATGCAGCTTCAGTTTTAAAGTTTCTGTGTGAAAAATCTTGTGCTACTTTTAAAATGAGAGCAAGGCAAAAAACATTCTTTTAGATTGCGTTTTTTCTAAGACGAAACGAAAAATCTCTACTTTTACTTCGTCTATGGGTAAACCCATGTTAATTTCAAAATGTAAAGAGAAAAAAACTACATTTTAAAAAGTCCAAAAAATATTCATTTATATTTTTTTAGACTGAAAAATTGTCACTTTTATTTTTTTTTCGGGAGAAAAATCTCCTCTTTTATTTTGTCTATGGGAAAAATCCATGTTAATTTCAAAATGTAAGGAGTAAGTTACCCTTTGATTTTACAATGTCGACAAAAAAAATTCATTTAAATTTTCTTAGGTCGAAAAAGTTTTTTCTTCTGCCTTTTCGAAGTTGTAAAATTAAGCTTACTTTTTTTTTTTTTTTTTTCTTAAATGGAATTACTTCATTTTACTTTTTTTTAAGGCGAAAAAGATTCATTTCAACTTCTTAAGACTAAAAACGATTTTTAATTCGAAGATGTTTCACTTTATATGTCTTCTAAAATGGAAAATCTCATTAAGTAATATATTTTCTTTACGAAACATAAATACTAAAAAGTACATTTGAAATATTTTATTGTTTAAATATAATTCTTAAACTAAAATCCTCTTTTAGAAATGAATGCGAAGCACCCATTTTACTTAAATGGAATTACATGCAGTTTGTAGATAAATAAATACAGTAAGCTGCATATATACTAGAAAATTAAACTTTGCAATGGAACATTTTCCCATTAAGTAATTTTTTAAAAAAAATGACTTGAATATTATCCATATTCATCAGATCTTAATCTTAGTAAACAATTATCCAGTGCATGTTGGTACGGACTCACAGAAAACCTTTTTCACTCTCTTAATATAGATACTCAGAAGATAGGTATAAACTTTAGGATACATTTCATTTAAAATCGAATTTAAAAAAAATCATGCACTTGCA